TGAATCTGTTGTATTGGCTACTGGAGTGAGAGAGCCTAGTGGACCCTGGGAGCCTGTAGTTATGTTGTTTCATAAATGTTGTAAAGGTCAGGGGGCTAAAGGGACACTGGAGGGGTGATCTTAGCTCTGTGAACTTTCTCGCACCAGCAGGAAAAGCAAGAAAAGAAGTAAGAGTTCCCAAGTACAAAGAGAGGGCAATCCCTGAGGTAGGGAGAGTTGAGCTGAGTTGCGAGGGTAGACCTGAGTTTGGAGAAAGGAGAACGTAGCAAATATGGTATTTCAGTGGAGAAATTGGGTTTCTGGATACAGTGCCATCAGTGAGGACTGAGAGAGCCTTTGAGGGAATCTTGACCTATTTTCTACACTGCCTTTTGTGGTCTCCAGGTGAGGCCTACATACCCATCAGGTAAAAGCAGCAGGCCAGGGGTGTCACATGTGATTCAGCAAATTTTGTTCCCCAGAGCTTTTAATTTCACCCCCCACCCGTTCAAGCCCTTCTTCAAAATATGTAGTGAGGCTCTTACTTGCATATGCAAATTTGGAAGTTTATCCCATCAGTATTTGTTCAGTTTTCATTTGTCCCTCTGCCCCTCATATTTCTTTGGAGACTGTCCTTGCCTGTGCTTTGAGAGTGTGAGCTAAAAGGAGTCTTGCTGCATAGGTGCAAATTCTCAGTCACTGGTTCCCACTTTGTGAATGGGCTAGTGGTGGGAAGAGCAAGCTGCTGTTCAGAGTGGAGGTGAATTAGGAGACTTTTGGTCAAGGAGCTGGACCCTCTGGTCAAGTAAGGCCCTCATCAGTGGTTTTTGTAAGAGGTATGTTAGAAGAGAGAGGATGAAGTGGGGCAGATTTTTAAACTGAAGAGCCAAAGAGTGTAGTATAAAAGGGAGGAAGGTGGGTTAGACCCCTCGCAGTTCAGCTGGGGAGATGATGGAATCTAGTGTAAATCCCAAAGGATGAGTTGTATCAGCGCTGGCAAATCAGGAAGGTAGAAAAGGTGCAGGAGTAGGAGTGAGTGTTGAGATGCCTCCTCCCCAAAGCTGTGTGCTATGTTCTGCTTTTTTCTGGTATGGCTCTGTTCTGTCAAACTTTGTTTCCTCTTAATATTTTGTAAAGCCCCCCCCCAGCTGTTATTCCCTGTTTACCAGTAAAGGGAACCAAGATAGAAATATCATGGCTGCTTAACAGACCTGGGGCAGGGGAGTAAGAACCTCTACTCTGACTGCAGGAAGGTGGGGAACTAGAATTGCTTTTTAAATTTGCTGTAGGGATAAACAATTGGATCTTTATCAGGGAAGTGGACAGAGTCTTATTGTATTGGGGGGGGACATTTTTGGGTTTTTTTCTTTTTTAAGTGTGTGTTTTCGCGGGGGGGAGTTCATCACTGAATGTTTCAAAGAGAAATGAGGACTCCCAGACAACTTCAACATGGAGTCAGCTGTTATCTCTCCTGCCTGAGGATGGGAATGATACAGCTTGGAAGCTTGTATGATGGGGTTTCTGTGGAAAGTGGCACCAGAGATGACAATGAGAGACAACCTCTGGTAGGTGCCAGTTAGTGTTTTGCAGAGGATGTTACTGAGGGATGGCCCTGTGGAAGTCTGAAAACACCACTGAAAGAAAAACAAACCAAGATGGCTCCTTCTGCGTATCCAAGTGCTCCCCATTTTCATATTTGCCTCATTTGCGTATTAAGTTGTGCCTCATTTGCATATGTAAATACATGCCGGTCAGTGTGCAAATTAGCCTTGTTCCTCTGCCCCTGAAATAAATGTGTGTTGTTAGTGTATGGGAAGGCATCAGGTGGGTGGCGTAGAGCTCTGCAGGGTGCCTGGGTACTGGCCTGCAGGGAGGGGTGGGATGCCAGCCTGTCAGAGAGAGGGGTTCTTGCAGGCCACTCTGTCATGGTGTGGCCCCCCATGGTTTGTGTTGGTGGTCAGGGAGAGAGGGGCGTGGTCTCACGAGTTTATTTTTGTGCATGCTTTCTTAATAAAAAGAAAAAGTGAATGTTTATGGTTTAACTCTTTTGGTGCCAGTATTGAATTTTTTTTCAGCGGTGCCTGTCAGATGGGCTTAGTTCCCACCTGCTTACCTTTAGAAACAGAATTTGAGTGTGGACATTGCTAAATGAACAGCCCACATCTATACGTTTTTTACAACTGACTTTTCAGGATGTCAAGACAGAGTCAAAAGTTCTCATAGCCAGCTATTCTCAGGGCACTGAGATCAGTGAGTGTTCCAACTCATGGCTGACAGAAAGGCAAAGTTAAAACTACACCAATGCTTAGTGGCTGTTTGTCATACCATTTGTATGTACCTTTCTTTAAGGAAGGACTAACAGAAAAAGCAGATTTGAAACCACTTCCTTAGAGTACCTAGAAAACATACTTCTGCTTTTCAGGAACAGGGAACATTCAAGCTTGGGAAACACCTCCAAATAGCGTGACTGGATGAAATTTTTACCTTATTCCACCAGAAATACATGAGAAGCACATGTCTCTTGTAGAGAGCAGGATGACATGACTGTGCTGCAAAAGGCTTGTTCCCTACCTTCTTGGGGTCATAGTGGAGGTTATCACTTCTCAATGCCAAGGTTTTACCAAATGGCTGATAGTCCAGAAGCCACCTAATCTGGTGCATCAATGACTGAAGTTGCTCAAGTTCTGCTTGTGTGCCATCTTAAAATGCAGTAGGTACATTTGGATAATCTCTGACTAACTTCCTAAAAGGAAGATTCAGGACTCTGGTGGTGGAGGGAGTGTTGGGGTGACAGTGAGTGAGTGCTTGCTAATGAACATAGCTACAGCATGTGCATTGGACCAGTTACTACTGTACAGTGATGTATTTTCTGGGACAAAGAAATATCTTGGGCATCTGCCAGGGCATGAAAGTCAGTTCAATGCGGCTGACTGGGGCACGTGCTGTTCTAATGCACTGCTGTAAGAAAATGTAGCACTACTGTCTAGGAAATCTTCAGGGAAAAAAAAAAACCAAAACCCTCGGACCCCAAGTGTCGTCAAAGGAGAGGGAAGATTGGATGACAGATTCCAAGGAGAGACATCAAAGTTACTTTCATCTGCAGTTTATCAGAGACAGGAGATGCAGAACATAGACATATGCAAATAATTCTAATGACATTCTAATCTAGCAATTCAGAGGTTAAACTACATGGTCTTCTCACCAGAAATCGTTCTGCAAGCCTGCTTTCTTCTGTGTCTCCTGCTTCACCAGAGTCTTCCCTCAGATTATTACTCTGGGTACTTCCAACTTCCCATTTCTCTAGAGTAGGATATAAAGGGGTGAGCTGTTCTGATCTGGACCATCTAAGTGCCCTGTGTGTGGATCTGGAGATTAATCAAAAGCATTGGAGCAAAAAAAGCTGTTAAGTGAAGAGTGATTGATGTGCAGGGCCATAGCTCGCCTTCTACAGTGGTGATTGGAAATCCTGCATTACACTGTGCTGCTAACGTTCTTCTCTGTTGAAGTCTTGCTTCTGTCAAGGGAGGAAAGGATCAAATGTATTGGTTCCTCAGTAAAGGCACCTTCCAAGATTCCTTGCATTGATTGCTGTGCCTTTGCCCTGAAGTCCCGTCCCACAAAAACATAGAGCAGAGGGTTGATGCAGCTGTTGGCATATGCAAATGCGATAGAGAGATGGTCCCAGAAGATCAATGACTCCTTCAGTCCTGTTCTAAGAGTAGGTACAAGGGACAGAATGCCAACTACATGGTATGGAGCCCAGCAGATGAAGAATGCAGCTACCACGAGCACAATTGTTCGCAGCATCCTGATGCGTGCCTTGTGAAAGTGATTTGCACGTGTTCTAAAAGCAATAAGGGCGTAGCAAACTCCCATTATGCCAAAGGGGAGTACAAAGCCAAAGACAGCCTTAGTGATGTTTACTACCACTAAGGCAAGGGATGCAGAATAATCATCTTCATAGAAATTTCCCCATGAGTCATTACCATTGTAGGCTAAAGGTGAGTATTCTTCCAACAACTCATTTATAGAATCATCCATATAATTTAGCACCTCGTCATCTCCAAAATTGTACCCACACTCAGTTTTGCCATCATGAGTGCTAGTCTCACGGTAGTAGAAGACAGGACAGCAGAAAATGAAGGCCAAGATCCAAATGCCACTGCATATTAGTGATATAAATCTCACTGTTCGATGATTTTGACACCAGACAGGTTTCATCACAAGGAGGCACCGGTCAATGCTGATGGCCACGAGGAAAAAGATGCTAGCAAACATGGTGAAGATTATGATTGATGGAATGATTTTGCAGAGGAACAAACCATACGGCCAGTGTTCATGGAGGGCCAGGTGAACAATGGAAAATGGCAATGACAAACAGCACACAAAGTCAGCTGTAGCAAGGTTTAGGAACCAGACAATATTCACAGACCTTTTCATTTTCAGACCAGCTACCCAGATCACCAATCCATTGCCTGGGATACCTATGATGAAAACGATGATGAAGATGGCAATGGAGAAAATGGATTCAGATGCATAATATACAGCAGCCTGTTCATGTGAACTGCTATTAGCCAGGAGCTGAGGCATTCTGTAGCTATAAAACAGAAAGCAAATTAGTAGGCAATTCACACCCTCCTCCCCAAATTCTTCTCTTTTTCTGTACTGAAGCAGCTCTGAGTCAGATAACAGTACAGAGCTATCAGCGTACAAAGGCATCAGTCTATACAAGTTTGTGCTAAAGACTTACTAATCTGACCATTATACACCTTCATAATTCTCATAGTGGCTAAGCTACATAAGCCCCACAATTCAAATGAGGGGGGGGAGGGCAGGTTGTATACACTTAAGTTCTCCTATCTCTGTCACCCCCTTTGATTCCAGCCTGGTTAGTTTTTAGTCTCCACTCTAAAGGGGAGCTCTCTATTCCCATGCCCATAACTATCACCAGGTGTCTTTCCTGATTGACTTACAGCTTTGTATACACTTCTCTTCAGAAAGGTAACTCAGCATTTTAGTTCCTTTTCCCTTTAAAATTAGTTATTTTTTCTACCCTAACCAGTGAAATAGGTTAAGAAAATAATGCTTGTCTTAATGAAATAGCCCTGCTTCACTTTCTGGACATTATAAATAGAACAGGACAGCAACTCTGTTTGCTAAGGGGTATTTTTAGGGAAGTCCCAGTAAGCACTTCCTTCTCCCTGCTTTTGTTCCGAGCTCTCTGCTGGTTCTAGTCTTGATGAGGAGAAAGGCAAGAATTGAATTGTTTAAGAAAAACATACAGAGATTTAGTTGTAAAAAGAAAAAATTAAAATGCAGAGTAATAGCAATAATGGTCTTGAGCCATTTTAGATATAAGAAAAGGTGTCTTATTACAGGACAAGGAAGCTGAGCCACAGAATACTTAAGTGACATTTTAAAACTATGAGAATAGTAGTGGAAAAACTTTAATTGATCAATTATTCTTGGACTTAGAAATTAATAAGTTTAGAAATGAAAGTAAAGGAAAACTAAAAAAAGTCAAGACAGAACTGAGAAAAAGAGCCTGAACTTCATCCTTTAGGCATTAATAGAATTGTTTATAAAATTCCTGTTAACCCTTGCTGAATCAATCATTGAATCATAGAACAGTTTGAGTTGGAAGTGACCATGGAGGTCATCTAGTCCAACCCCCCTGCAGTAAGCAGGGACATCTTCCACTAGATCAGGTTGCCCAGAACCCCGTCCGACCTGACCTTGAATGTTTCCAGGGACGGGGCATCTACCCCCTTCTTGGGCAACCTGTTCCAGTGTTTCACCACCCTAAGCATAAAATATTTCTTCCTTATATCTAGTCTAAACCTCTCCTCTTTTAGTTTAAAACCATTATCCCTCATCCTGTTGCTACAGGCTCTGTTAAAAAGTTTCACAGAATCACACAGAATGTTAGAGATTGGAAGGGACCTCGAAAGATCATCTAGTCCAATCCCCCTGCCGGAGCAGGAACACCTAGATCAGATCACACAGGAACGCATCCAGGCGGGCTTTGAATGTCTCCAGAGAAGGAGACTCCACACCCTCTCTGGGCAGCCTGTTCCAGTGCAATGGCACCCTCACCGTAAAGAAGTTTTTTCTCATATTCAAGTGGAACCTCCTATGTTCCAGCTTGAACCCATTGCCCCTTGTCCTGTCACTGGATGTCATAGCGTAGAGCCTGTTTATTCCCATCTTTCTTATAAGCCCCCTTTAGATACTGAAAGGCCGCAATCAGGTCTCCTCAGAGTCTTCTCCAAGCTGAACAACCCCAACTCTCTCAGCCTCTCCTCATAGGGAGGTGTTGCAAGCCTTTGATCATTTCCACGGGCCTCCTCTGGACCCGTTCCAACAGGCCCATGTCAATGAAAACAGTTGTGTTGCTGAAAGGTCCCTAAAAGCATTACGGAAATGTAAGGGAACTATATAGGTAAGAGCTGAATACAGCCTGCAGAAACAACTCGGGAGACATGAAAAAAGACAACCCAGACTGATTCTATTTCAACGTCTATTATGCCAGTACTTAAATGCTAGTCAGGGACGGTTGTGTGCAGGACTAAATATCAACATTATTTAAAAATTCCAAATCATCAATCTCTTGCGTAACACATAATCTAAATGCGGAGCGATGCAGAAGTGTTAGAACTGCTTCGCCATGAAGAAAATGAGATAAACAGTTGTAACAAACATTGTAATTTACCACTTCTAGGTAACAACTGCTAAGAGGCTTTTAGGCAAGGGTGATCTGCAAGGAAAGCTTATGAAAGAAGTCACTGGAATGCAGCTGGCAGCTTAACTTAGAATTCTAACAAGTTTGTTCCATTTCCTGCGGTCTTCCTGATATATGCAGAAGCGACTTTTACAGGGACAACTGGAGAACAGTGCTGAAAGAGCTGAATCTTGCTGCCTCCCCATACAGCCACAGAAGATGGTATGGAGGGGACAGGGAATCAAGGAATGCTGTAAAGATGGTAATACAAATCCTACTCCAAAGCAAACTGAGGGATGAATCAATAAGAATACTGTCCACGCTATGTTTTCAAGAGTGCTAAAAGGGCTGCTATGTGGTTATGAAAATGGAAGGGGGAACTGGAGGGGAGCGGGAGGCTTTCAGGAGTGAAGAATAAGAAATTATGGCAAGTTGAAGAGGAAAGCAGAATTCTGCAGCTTATTATACCTACCCGAGTGAAGTAGATATTTCGGTGTGTCAGGGAGCAAGTACCCTCAGTACTGTCTCTGGAGTGACTGAAAAAAACAACTCACATGACATTTTAGGAACTGCTTTTTTCCTCTACGTGCATGTGTGTGCTGTTTTTTCACCCTGATGGAAAGGCTCAGAATGACTCGTATTTGAAGTTTTACGTATGATCTGCTGATAAAATAAAGAAACAGTCAAACCAAATGAAGCTGTCCTAATACTGTCGAAATAAAATAGTGCCCTGAGTCAAGGAATAACAGAAAGCAAGGGAATGACAGGCACAGGCATATACTTTACTACAGTTTCCATAAGATGACTGAATCAGATGTCTTGACCTTTGCTTGATGTAATTCATAATTCCAAACCCTGCCATGCCACCATCAGGTGTCTGATCTGTTGTCCTGTAGCCATTTCCATGTTTTCCCAGATCAGCACATTCACCTAGCTAATCCTATTTCTGGGATTTTTATCAATCCAGATCAGCTTTTGTCCCAGGCTGGGACAGTTTAGTTCACCAAATACAGAACATTGTACTCAGCAAACCGTAATTGGTCATGTCAAAAGGATTTTAATCTGATTTTTGACCTTTCAAAGTATTTAAAGTTTGTGGGGGTTGTTTTGTTTTGGTTTGGTTTTTTTTAGATAAGGAACTTGACTGATGAAAAGTTAGAAGTGGTTAACTGAAATGCTGATAGCACAAAATGTGGCAAGACTATAAAAAGAAAAGATAACTAGGGCAAGGCATTTAAAATGTGCAACAATAGGGTTCCTCCTCACCCCTTCCAATTTGAGAAATTAAGACTGCTAGCAGAAATTACAAAGTGCAGACATACAAGAAGCAGCCTCTGTGTTTTGGTCTGGAAAGTGAACCAGGATGGAGCAGAATTCTGCTCCCAAGCATGTATCTGTGAAACACACTAACAGTGCCTCTAACACAAAATGCATGAAGCCAGAAACAGGAAGGCAGGCCAGGGTGGAGCTGTACCCCCAAAGATGGACAGGCAGCAGCCTCCCAGGAAATTCCTCTAGCTGCATCTTATTCTCAACTGACATCTTTCCTGCGGGATGACTCAGACCCAGGCAGAAAGTAGTGCTCCTGTTGGCGAAGGGATGTGCAGCCTTTTCACCACCATATGACTTGCTAGCGCTAGTCAAACTCTCCTTTGCAAGAAAGTCCTTCTCCACCAGTTGTCCACCTCTGATCCTCCCAGTTAAAACCTCTCCCCTGCAGCCAATGCAAGCACTTTATCTTTAGTCCTGTCAGCCTACCCTGGACAGTGATGAGATGATATGGTATCTCTCTGTACAGGTTTCCAAATCAATTAACCTTTTAAGCAGTTTGACTAGTCAAGTGTTTTGCACCTCAGCATAAAGGCCTCATGATGTAGACACTCAGATGGTGCTAGGAGGAAAAAAGACATTTTGTTACTGTCATGAAATGGTTACTTAGATCAGACCAGACCTTTGACTTGCAGCTTTGTTGGTAATCCCAAATCGCCACACTGCATTCTTTTCTTCTCTTCTGGATCTCTCCCTTCCCCTCATGATAAACAGACTGAGTTAGTTAAGTCACAGAATCACAGAATAGTTGGAAGTTGCAAGACTATCCAAAGACCATCTGTCCCAACTGCTCAAAGAAGGGTTAGCTAAACAAGATTGCCCAGGTCTGTGTCCAGTTGGGTTTGAGTATCTCTGCAGAAGGAGACTCCACAAACTCTCTGGACAACCTGCTCCAGTTTTCAACCACCCTCAGTAAAAAACTGTTTTATTGTGTTCAGGTGGAACTTCCTGCATTTCATAGTGTGCCCACTGACTCTTGTCCTGTCACCAGGCACCACTGAGAAGAGTCTGGCTCTATCTCCATTAAACACTCCCATCAGACAGATGGTAAAACCCCCCCGAGCCTTTTCTTCTCCAGGCTGAACAGTCCCAGCTCTCCCAGCCTCTCTTTGCATGATGTACGAGTCCCTTAATTACTTTAGCGGCTCTCCCCAAGTTTCACTCCACTATGTCCATGTCTCTCTAGTACTGGGGAGCCCAGAACTGGACCCAGCACTCTAGATGTGGCCTCACCAGTGCTGAGCAGAGGGGAAGGATCACCTCTCTTGACCTAATGGCAACAGGCCTCCTAATCTAGCCCTGGCAGCTATCAGCATTCTTTGCTGCTCGGGTACATTGCTGGTTTATGTTCAGCTCTTTGTCCACCAGGACCCACAACATCATCATTGTCTGCAAAGGCGCTTTCCAGGTGGTCAGCCCCCAGCATGTACTGGTGCATGGTGTTGTTCCTCCCCAGATGCAGAACTCTGCATTTCTTGTTGAACTTCATGAGGTTCCTGTCTGCCCAATTCTCCAACATGTCCGGGTTCCTCTGAATGGT